TAACGATTTGGTCTTCACGATCTCGCAAGGGGCGCCTGTGCGCTTGAAGAAATCTTTAACTGCGTGCGTTTTGAGGGTTTAGGGTTTTGAGGGTTTAAGGGTTTTGAGGGTTTAGGGTTTTTGAGGTTTAGGGCTTTTAGGGTTTAGGGTTTCCAGGGCTTAGGCTTTTTAGGGTTTTAGGGTTGAGAGTGTTTCGGGCTTTTAGAATTCAAGGTGCTCATGTTTTTTAGGGCTTAGGTCTTTTAGGGTTTAGGATTTTTAGGGTTTGTGGTTTATAGGGTCTTTGGTGTTTAGGATGTTTGATGTTTTTGAGGTTTTCAATGTTTGGGGTTGAGGCTGTCTAGGGTGTTCAAGCTGTCCGTGGCTTGTTTTTTTGTTTTTGGGCGTTAAGGGAGTTTAGGGTTTAGGGTTTTTAGGGTGCAGGGTGCTTAGGATGTTTAATGTGTTTAGGGTTTAGTGTGCTTGGGGTTTTGAGAGTTTAGGGTTTGCAGAGTTTGGGGTTTTTAGGGTTTAGAGCTTTTAGGCTTGAGGGTTTTTAGGGTTTAGGGTTTAGGGCGTTTGAGGTTGTTAGGGTTTAGGATTTTTAGAGGGTTTAGAGTTTTTGGTGTTCAAGGTGTTTAAGGTTTTGAGAGTAAAGGTGTTGAGGGTTTAGGGCATTTAGGGTTTAGGGCTTTAGGCTTGGGAGATTGTAGGGTGCTTAGGGTTTAGGGCTTTAGGGTTTACATCATTTTTAGGGTTTCAGATGTTTAGGGTTAAGGCTTTAGAGTTTTAGGGTTTGGGGGTTATAGGTTCTTTAGGGTTTAGGGCTTTTGGGGTTCAGGGTGTTCAGGGTTTAGGTGTTTTTGGCTTTTAGCATTTTTAGGGTTTTTATTGTTTCAGGAGTTTTAAGGGTTGAGGGCTTAGGGTTTTAATCTTTTTAGGGCTCAGGGTTTTCAGGGTTACGGTTTTTAGCGATTAGGGTTTTTGTGGTTTTTAGGTTTGAGCTTTTTAGGCTTTAGGTTTTGAAGGCTTTAGGGCTTGGGCTTCAGGGATTTGGGATTTAAAGATTTTAGCTTTTAGGGTTCAGTGTTTTGTGTTTTTGGGGTTTAAGGTTTTTAGGGTTTAGGGTTTAAGGTTTAGGGGTTTGAGGTCTAGGATAACGCACAAAAACAGACAGGGATAACGCAAAAATAAAAGACATAGGTAACGCAAAATAAGAAGGCACAGATCACGCATATACTTGGTCGCAGGAAGCCATTCCCTGAGACATCGCACGAAAACGACAAGAAAAAGACACCGATAACGCTATTAAAAAAAACACAGATAACGCTATTAAAAAAAACACAGATAACGCAATAAAAAGACACAGATCACCCCCTTTCCCCAGAACCAGGGGTTTGGGCGAGATGTGGTCATCTTAAAGTGTTCTGGGAGGGGTTCATTCCCAAAGTGACCAC